CTGTAGACTACATCTTCTATTCTGAAACAAAGGACAGTGTTACTCAGGAACCAGGTAACCAGATCTGTACCAAATCTGTGGCCAGCTTGGTACATTTTCACCCATGGCAGAAGTCCAAAGGAAGTGCTTCTGCGTAATACTTTCAGTTCCCTACAGCTTCCGGATCCTTTATCCTTTCTTTGTGGTATCCTATAAACATAGAAGTGAATTTACTTATACTCAGAGCCTTGTAGCAGTACTGACCGAGCAGATGACCGATTGTCTTCAGTTTATTCTCATTATTTGCCTGACAGTGGAGTTCCAGAAGTAACCACTTGCCATTCCAGAAGTGCAGTGACTGTAGACTACATCTTCTATTCTGAAACAAAGGACAGTGTTACTCAGGAACCAGGTAACCAGATCTGTACCAAATCTGTGGCCAGCTTGGTACATTTTCACCCATGGCAGGATCAAGTAGGAAGTGCTTCTGCGTAATACTTTCAGTTCCCTACAGCTTCCGGATCCTTTATCCTTTCTTTATGGTATCCTATAAACATAGAAGTGAGTTTACTTATACACAGAGCCTTGTATCAGTACTGACCGAGCAGATGACTTAGTCCATATCCTAGCGTAGCATGTATGCTTGCTGCTTAGATGAACAAACAACCTTTTTTTCTTGTCTTTGTTGTAGTGAGTCCCCTCTTTGTGTAAATTCCATCTTCAGAATGGTAGTGATCAAAAGTAAATCTAGCTAGCTCATCCATATTTATTTCACTTAAGTTTGAGTTGAAGATATGAACAGTTAAAACTGTTGATTTGTGCAGAATTCAATTTGCTGTTAGAGGCACAGAAGAAATTATTATGGTTGAAAAAATTGCACCCATTTTCTGTTTTAATTCTGATAGTGGTTTTGCCTGGAAATAATGTTATGAATCCTACACGGTCTTGTATGTTCATATCTTTTAGCAGATAGCATGTTCCATAAAAGATGGCGAGGTTGAGCTACTTCAGAAAACTTATCTATGTATTTTAATCCAGCGGTAGAAGTTCTGGCAAAAATTCACCAGATGGTGCTAAAATGTTACCAGCCATTTGATCATCTTTTGGCATATAACCATGCTGAAGCTCTCTTGGCTGCTCTTCGCATATTCCAACTGGTACATCTCAGCTTCATGGAAAGGTCTTTTCTCATTGTATCACACATTCTTAGATGTGGTTAGCAGAACAGAAGGCAGCCTTCTTTTCCAAATGTGCAGTTTTCCAACTTCCAAAATTCTTATCCAGTAAGGACATGGCTAGAAATTCTGGCAGTTGAGGTCCACACATCTGGATGCCCAAATTGGAGAAAGGTACACTAGGTTATGATGTACTTTGTTTTATTTGGCTTAGCATGTTATGCAAACCCAGACAGTTATGGTTTAATAAATCATGCTTAAACCATGATTTAATACAATGAGTTCACTCTTACTCTGAGATTCATGTCTACAAAATTTTGTAATATAATGACTAAAAGACTGAGCCATGAATTCAAGTTCCTGGTCTGAAATTCACCCCCCACCCCCCATTTTATCAGTGACATTTGCAAGTGCCTTTGTCTAGACCTCAGGCATGCCTCCATCTTCAGTCTACAAAATCAGTAACAGTAAGACTGACTTATCTTACAGCCTTGTCATAATGATTACTGCTACATGTGAAGTACACTGAACATTTGAAAGCATTATACAGATGTGAAGCTTTATTAATGCACTTTGAAAGTTATTCCCAGGTTGTAATACCTAATGATATTAAAAAGCAAGTCTTACTAATGCCCAGCTCACTTCATGGTAGCACCATGATATATCCAGATTTGGCTACAGTTGTGGCAGAAATGGAATTGCCTGCCAGGCAGTATCTCTGTTCACACTATACACTTCTGAAAAGCCCTTTTTCCTCTTACAGGAGCGGAACTTGTTTTCAATGGAGGCCTGAATCTTCTGGGTAGACTGTCACTGGTAACTGAGAAAGATCTGTGGGGAGTCAATGGACTGCCTAATGAAAGCAATTCCTCTGACCATCTCCCTCTTCTAGCTAAGTTCAGGCTGGAAGAATAACTTCTGAATGAAAATAATTGGTATCTTCACTCTCCCTCCCCATCTTAACGTTTATCAATTCCAGCAAAAGTGACTGAAGATGTTTTTAAAAGATCTACTGTAAATTATCAGAATCACTCACATAAAAAGCAAGCTAGTTTTACATAGGGATTCCTTTTTTTAATAAATGAAAATATTTGTGCTGTATTTAAAAATGTATATGTTTTCACAGAAATTGTATACATTACTTTTTAAAATAAAAATACAATTGCTATGCTAGGGTTTTTTTCAGTGAAATTGTATTTTCTTAATTTTTAAGGCAAATAAGAGAATATGTATCCTTATTTTCTCCCATGGAAACAGATCTCAACGTATCTTTAATTTGGCCTAAGGGGAAGCCATAGGTCATGCACGCAGAAACAAAAAAGGTACAGCTTTCCCTGACAAGGAAATGCAGCAAACGATACCACCATTTGTGTGGATTGTTATTGTTGCAGATAGGTCTGGGACTACTTTTACTGTCAACCCACCACTACTATAATAGCATCTCAGCCTGGCTGTATTTCATAGATCCAATTGTTGATCACATCAACTGAGGGGTGGTTTATAAACCTGGCCTGTGATACAGCTGCTGGACAACATACCACCTCTCTTAGAAAGCAGCAAGGCAACTTTGGAAGCACTGCTCGTTTAAAAGGCACTACAGTTATATACAAATAAAATATTGCTAGGTCCTGGACATCTCAGACGAAACCTTTGTCAGGAAGGCTGTTCTCCTGAATTATTCTCTGATGAAGGTGGTTCAGATGCCAAGCTTCAGTATTTGTGCTCAACAAGAGTCCAGCAGGTTATGACAACATTCACATATTTTCTTTTAAAAAGAACAGAGCTAATTAACTGCATTTGAATACAGAAAGCAATTAGAAGGATATACCTGATATCTTTGTTTTGAAGGTTGCTACTTTATTAAAAAAAATCCAGACTCAATTTTTCCCTATAGTGAGTTGGTTGAGCAGATGGAAATGCAATTCATTAGCTTAATCATCCAAATATAATTATCGCTCTGCACTCTGAATGCACCTTGGGGGAAGATACTTGCTAGTGGCTTAATATGACACATATAATATATGCAATACACTTTTTGGATTGTGTAGCTCACTGACAAAGGGCGCCATGTTTTCAGCACAAACCCCATTTGTTGTGAATGTACCCTCGTGCTATTTCTGTTATGGGTTATAACCTAAACCTTCCTCTCTATCCTTACAGTAGAATTTGAAAGACTTACTGCTCTGATTGCTGAAACAATTCTATGAGCATGTTGATGTGGAACAGCAATAGCTCAGCAGCTAAGCATATGCTTAGCAAACTCAATTTCCATTTTTTAGCATCCCTGAGAGATACCTATTGCAACTGCTGCTTGTCAGTGTGAATATCGTTGTAGCCTAATACAATGTAAGGTAGCTTCCTATATGTCAAGGAAAACCAATATTTTTCCATCAGGGGCTAAACTTGTTTGTATTATTACTAATAAGTAGGCTGGAATACTTAGTCTTGTTTTGTTTTGAAGGAAGTTTTAAAATTTTAATACATGAAATGGGTGTTCTAAGACTTATTTTTTCTTTTTCTTTTTTGGGGGGGATTGCCTTCGAATCAATTTTGACTCCTGATGACTGCCTGGACTAGTCCTTGCAGTTTTTTTGGCAAGATTTTCAGAAGTGGTTTGCCATTGCCTGCTTCCTAGGGTTGAGAAAGACTGGCCCAAAATCACCCAGTTGGCTTTGTGCCTAAGGTGGGTCTAGAACTCATTTTCTAGTCTGTTGCCTTAACTGCTACACCAAACTGGCTCTCATTTTAAGACTTGCTATTTTACAAAAACCCATTTTGCAAAATGTTACCCTTTGATTGCCCATCTATGTTCCCTGTGTGTGTCTTTTTCATGAGTGTCTACAACTTATGATCTGCACTTGTAAATACAACAGAAACAACTGAGCTGTTTTAAACTTAAAAAAAAAAGTCAACTGTTTTACAAAAGATGGTTCAATTATAATAGGCTGGTGGATGGACAGAGTTAAGTGACAACATACATTAAACCTTGTGAATGTACTTAGTGAACTTCCAGAAAAGAGATGTGCTGAGCACAACAGCCTTTGTTCAGCAGATACAGTATCATTGTCCTCTCTTGTGCTTTACATTTTGCTGTGGCAAGCAGAAAAAAAATTAATGATGCAAAGTAAGCACATTTGCATGATATATTCAAGTTATATAAATAGTCTTTTTTAAGCTTGTTAAACTTGCCTCGAAATAAAACACAACTCTATTTGTACTGGACTTCCTGGTGAGGCAATGGTGAACTAAGACGTCTCCAGAGGAGTGGAGATGACAACATGGCCAGGACCACTTGCTGCAAGAAAATCAGGAGTCACTTCTTTTTTCAATGTTTCTTTTACTTTTCCTTTCTTTTCTTTTTGCACTTTGTATTTCTATTTTCTTTTTTCTTTCTGATTTCAGTTTGTAGTATCTTTTAGTATTGTTAAACCCTTTAATAAAAAGTATTTTTTAAAAAATCTATTTGTACTGCCTTGCTCAGCAAGGCAGAGTTTATATAAGAGTTCATCACTCAATCTTTTCACACTTAAGAAACCTACAGTCATTGATATTTTATGCTGAATCATATTCCCACTTTCCTGTGAAAAAGTCCTACTGAATTCTTGGTCCTTTGTATAAAATTATAACTAGAATTGCACTGTTACTCTGCTAAGTTTTGTTCATTTATTTCCTGCTCTGTGAAAAGAAATATCCTCTTTAGGATTTTATTTTTACATGACTTTGCAACTGAATTTTATGAGAGCGTCATGTGATCTTATTGATATACAAAGGAAGTCTGAGTGGACAGTTAACACCAAGGTTTAGGCTTGTTTCATTTCTTTCATAAGTCCATCATGTGATTTGCCAGTATGAAAAAGTAATTGCCCCCTAGTTTAATAAACTCAACTAAAGTGATAACTAAGGACAGTTGTTTAAACCAGTCAAATCATGGTTGATCCGAACCATCCCTGTTCTGCCTACCCACAGAGTTTGCCTCCCGTCATCATATTGAAGTTTCATCGCACAGAAATGTCATGTCCCACTGAAGTTTCTGAAGACTTCTGAAAAAAGCCATTGATGCCATCAGCCTGGAAAATGTTACAAAGTCATTTCTAATGCTCTGGGGCTCCACTGATCTACAGAGATGGAGTCCTGAAATGGAGATTTGGGACTTCCGGGGGAGGTATGGTGAACTAAAGACAGTTCTGTGAAAGCAGAGCTGACAACCACAGCAAAGACCAAGGAACCAGTGAGTAAACTGGTTCCTTGGAATCTCTCTGGATAAAGAGAGGACAGGAGATCACCCACATGTGCTCTGGGCGGCTGCTTCTCACAAGAAGACTGCAGGACAGTGGTTCATGAGTTTGAGTGCTGAGAGACAAAGGGAGTAGCCATCTTGCTCGCAACCATGATGGAGCCTTTTAAAGGACACTAACTTCGCAAACCTCACTTTCTAATCACTTTCAGAAATTGCCTATTAACCATCTTAAATCTATCAGAGACTTTCAGAATGACAAGTTTGAAAAGTCATCGAGTGAGTTTATCTTCAACCCTGAACAAAAGAAAAATTAATTACAAGCTTAAGAACTTAAACTTTGAAATAAACAGCAAAAAGCTAAATAAGATTTTGATCTAAGAAAATTATAAATAGATTAAGGGTCCAGATAAATTTGGAATGTTGACTTTTACTATAAGATTTTGGAATTCACTATAAAAAATAAACAACTCATGGGAAACAGACTTATTTTGGTTATCCTAGCTATTGCAAGTCGTACCAAAAGATAAGTGGTGATTTTAAAAACTGGACACTAGAGAGGACTAAGGATTTTAAGCAGAAGAAAAAAAATACAACCCTATTCCTGATGTCAGTCCAAAAGAAGTTAATGAAGAAATGGCAGATGTGAAACAAATTCTATCTGACAAAACAGAGAAAGTACAGAATGTGGAATTACAAATGACAGGCCAAGAGAATGATTTGGAAAAGGACAT